AAGAAATTGAAACCTTCATAAAATGCTGGTTGGGATGTAAAATGAGGCATACATTGTGGAAAACAATTTGAAAACTCTTCATAAAGTTAAACATAAATTTAATATATCATCCAGCAATTCCACTCCTAGGTATGGACCCAAGAGAATTGACAGGAGAGACTCAAATACTGGCATGCTAATATAACATCGCTCCCAACAGTTAAGAGGTAGAAACAACCCAGTGTCCATCAACAGATGCATGTATAAAGTAAGTCTGATGCACACAGGAGTATTATTTCAGTGTTAAACAGAAGGAAATCTAAAACATACTACAACGAGGATGAACTTTGAAGGCATTATGTGGATTCAAAAGGACAAATATTGCATGACTCTACAGATTCCAGCAAATTTATAGAGACAGAGAGTTAAATAGAGATCACCAGGGGCTGGAAGGAAGAAAAAAAATCAGGAGTTGTTTTTTAGCAGGTACAGGGTTGAGATGATGAAAGTGTTCTAGAAAGGGATGGTGGTGATCAACGGCTATACAACAAGTGACTGCACTTAGTGTCACTGAACCGTACACTTAAAATCGTTAAGATGGGACCAGACGTCTAGGTGCACACCTGTAATCCCAGCACTCGGGAGGATGAGACAGGAGGATCGTTGTAAGTTCGAGACCAACCTGGGCTACACAGTGAGTTCCAGGGAAGTCTCAACTACATAGTGAGACCCTGTCTCAAAAAAAAAAAACAATCATTAAGATGGGCAATTTCATGTTATATATATCTTACCACACCAATAAAAAATGAAGGAAAGTTTCCATTCTATAAAGAATGGGATTTAGAGGGGAACTGGTAATAAATGTTACCAAGAAGTCATGCCTTTTGAACTGGACCACTAGGAGTAGGAGTTCACTAAAGGAAGAGGCAAAAAATCTGACTTTAAATTCTGGAGTTGCCACGTACTTTTGTGTGGCTCTCTTCCATCTATAAAAATGACAAAACGTTTACCATGAATTTGTGGTGAGGATCTCAGGATATCCTGAAAAGGCTTACTAAATCCCCTACAGGAGGATTCACTGCGAAAATTTGCTTGTTACGGGCTGGGGGTATAGGTCAGTGGTCGAGTGGTTGCCAACATACGTGAGGCCCTGGTTTTGATCTCCAGCACCGTAATCAACTGGACAACAAATAAAATCTACTCATAACCAAGTGATATAAGGTAGAATTATGGCAGGCGGGACCCTTATATTTGTAACAGTATTATCCAACCCAGGATATTTCCTGGAGTCTAGACACGATAAGCTTCTCTCCCTCCCATCCCACGCATGATGAAGTTATGAAAAATATAAGGGCAGACAAGGTGCAAAGGTGAAAGGGAAAGGTTTTGAATTATTTTAGTAGATGAATATTATCTAGCCATTAAACTTGAGAAGCAGGAAGATACGAAGAAGAAAAATGGGGAGGCATTTAGCATTCTGTTTCCTTCAGTTAATACATTATAAGTCGCACCTGTGATTTATAGCTGTGTAAATACACAGATACAAGAACAAGGACTGAAAGTCAATACACAAAGGGGAAAATCGCTGCTGCATAGAGATGGGTGGCTATGGGTCACATTTTTCTTTTTTATTTCATTTTGTGTTGTTCTATTATTTTTAAGATAACAAATGAGAACAAGATGAAAAGCATTCTAAGCCCTTCTTACATGTTTATCTTGCAGCTTCTTGGCTGAATACTTACCCACAACCCCTGCTGCCCACCAGCTTCTAAGGAGCTACAAGGCCTGTACCTTGAGGCCCTGGGGACCTAGAGGGCAGCATTTGCTTCCAGCAATGACATAAATGTGCACAGAACAAGTGGAGGGTTCTCCGAGGCCCCTTCAGGGGAAAGAGCTGCAGCCTTCTATAGATTTGTGACTCTGGGCTCCCAGGGACACTGAGGGCGTAAGAAGAGTCATGAAATTGTGTTTGGCCTTGGGCTCTGATTCAAAGGCCATGGCTTCTGGCTTCCGAGGGCTTGCCCTTCCCACTTGAAAGACAAGGTATTGACTCCCAGATACTGGCAACCTTCATTTTGATTTCCTTGAACGGGCTGAGTTAGTGCAAGGGCATTATTTCTCAGAGCAAGGCTTCCCCATCAGCCTCTCCAGACAGGGCTAGACCATAAACTATTTCAGCTGCTAAGCTCATAACTAGATCAAGGAGAGAAACTAGGAATGGCAGGTTGATTTTATGCCCTTGCCTCATCTCTCCAGTCTATCAACTCATGCAGCCCACATGTATTAGCGCCCTGACATATATCAGAAGCCTCAGCCTATAAACAGGAGAAACAAAATCGGAGAGATATCTTAATTTCACTGTGCAGTCAGAAGGCTGCAGATGAGAAACTTAACACTGTAGCTACATGGCCTGTTCCCTCAGCCAAAGCCTTGGTTCTGCAGCATGACTGCCCCGTCCCCAGACTACAGGCTCTGAGTATGCCTGTGCACAATGTTTATGCACCGGTGTGCCTGGCCAGGAGCAGGGGCGCTGACGTCCAGCACAAGCCCCACCACACTTTTCGCACAATCGCGGGTCCTTCTCCACACTGCAAGCAGCCCTTTGTTCCAATTCAAACAAAACACTAAGAGCCAGCAGGGGCTTTACCTGAGCACAGAAAGGCATCCTATGCCTGCCTGCCCATTCTGTATCTGGACAGCACAGAAATCTGCCTCTGAACTGTACAGCAAACGTCCAGGGAGGGAGGCTGAATATTTTATGTTATTTTCTTACAAAAGCTCCATAGACACTAACAAACTTCCCTAGGCCTCATTGAAATTTCAGACCAGATTTCCCTTTTAGGTTGCACAGCCAATGGTTCTTGCCTTGAGAAAGCTATTTGACAGCTCTCCCTTAGAATTTCCACGGTTTCTGACCCTTGGTAAGTGCCAGCCTCCACTTCTTCCTAACCACCCATCCCAGATGTACTACTCCATGGTCCTCAGTCCTGGCCCCTCCCTGTGCCCTGAGTGGCCCTTTCTAATAATGTCAACACGGGTCCAACTAAGCTGTCTGCCTGAATGCACAATTTTAAAACTATGCTTTAGAGTCCTGAAGCTATAGAACAGATAATACCACAATGTGTCTACGATGATTAATTCTATAGAATTATAAATCTGGTTTCTGGAAGGGATCATAGCCTTCATCAGGCACAGTTTTACCTCTTACAAAGAAAACTAAGCAATAGAGGTTAGAACGTTAAGTGACTGCTATAGTTTGAATATTTGTGCTTCCCCCAACTCCCAGAATCCATGTGTTGGACCCTCACGCTCATGTGATGGTCTTAGAAGTGGGACCTTGGCAGGTGATTAGATCAGGAGGGTAGAGACCAGAACTCTCCCCTTCTGGCATGTGCAGGTGTAGTGAGAAGAGGGCCCCCACCAGAACCCAAATATGCTGGCACCTGGCTCCCCAGTTCCAAGAACCTCAGCAAGTAAGGTTCTGTTGTTTAGAAGCCACTTAGTATGAGTCATTTCATAGCAGCCTGAACAGTCTAAGAGAATGACAGTATACAATTACACAAATCATTTCCTGCCGAAGTAGGAAAGCAGTGTACCCTTTATAATTTGTCCACCCAGGAAACTGCATTCAGCCACCCATCAGATGGAAGGCCCAAGCTTCCTTATGGAGATAGTGGTCCTGACAGTCTCCCTGACCAGCACATTGTCATAATGAGGATTTTTCAGTGCTTCCAGGCACTGCCTCTCCATGCAGAGCTGTGAGGGGCCCTTGTCAGAGAACACAGTGGGGAGAGAAGCATAGCGCAGGACGCTGAGTCTGAAGTCCACTGTCTGAGGTCAAAGCCTCCTTGGCCATTGCCCATTTTTATGATCTCAAGCAAATGTTTCAGTTTCCTGATCTGGAAAATGGAAACAGTAGTAGTCTGATTCTAGAAGGCTGCGATGAAGACCAAATAAGATGACTTAAGGAAGAAGTGTTTAATGCCACACTTGAGATATAACTTGAAAGAGGCCCTGCTGCCAATTCTACTAACAGCCTCCCAAGGTAGAGCTCCTCCATACACAGACCCTGCTTAGGAGGGTCAGGCTACAGCAAAAACCTGGGGTTCTGTCTGGTTTTCATGACAGCTGGCATCACCTAGCACATTCACAACTATTCCAGGAGGGAAAGACTGACTGAGCACAGGTGATAAGTATAAAAATTGCTAGGTCTACTTCATTTAAAAACCACATGGCAATTCCGCCATAATTCTGCGTTAATTGCATATTAATTACCATCTTGTTATAGCATCAATGAGCCATACATTTGATGTGGGAACCTGAAGCACAGATCACATGCTAAAACAGACTTTCTCCAACTGCTGCAGTGAAGGACACCTGATCGGTCTGTAGCACCAAGAGTTCCCGAGAAGCATCCCTTTACTGCAGAACTCAGTGGTTACTCAAAGTTTCTTCCAAATAAAGTTTCCTCTAGTGGAAGTATGGAAACAACAGCAAGAAGCATCTACTGCCAGTGACACCTACCCTCAAATCCATTGGATCAAAGTCTCTGAAATGACAAACCCCAGCCTACTGACCTCTTCCAGAGGTGACAGTCTAATTGGCTGCAAGTGTCTCAAAACGCTCCCAAGGTCATCGCCTCTGCCTCCTTCTTGGCTCTCAGAAGTTGACTCCTCCATATTTACTTCACTGAAATACAATCCCCAAAAAATAAGTCATGTGAGCCCAGCTGAATTTCTTGGTAGAGGAATTATGCATAACAAGACGGCTGGCAAGGTTATATCACTCCATGAAAGCTGTAATTTCCCCGCAATTGATTTCCTAAAGATAACTCAGCGTTTGCGTGCAGTGAAAGCTAATTTAACAAGAAAGATGAGTCTCTTCAGAACACCTTGATTGGCAATTGTGATAAATTCCTATAATTACTATTGACTCAGAGGAGGATTTTCATTTGTTAAGATGTTGCTGAAATGACAGTCCAGTGATGGCTTTAAACAGAGGAAATGCAAAGGGGAAAAAAAAACAGTGGCTTCTGCCATGAGCGGCACACACAGGGCAACTTGCTCGCTTTGAGTGTGGAATCGACATCAAGAGATTTCGGAAGAGTAATTTTTTGGTATTTGGGCAGCTGGTGATTGTTGGTCCTGGCGCCCTTAAAAATAAATAAATAAATAAACAAACAAACAAACAACAAAGGAAATAGAAATACCACATGCTGCTCCCAACTTCACAAAAGAAGTTCGGGGGATCGGCACAGTTACAGATATGTCTGAGTCTGTGAAAACCTCCCAAAATCTCAGCAAAACCCTCCTCCTCAGCGGTCCATCTGCACTGACTGAAAATTCTCAGAGGAACCATAGTTCATAGAGCCAGACAGTACAGCACTTGTCTAGCATGAATAAGCCCGGGGTTCAACCCCAGTTTATAACAACAACAAAAAAAAACAACTAAGTAAGAATTTCTCCTTGCTTTGTAGAATTTACAGGTGAAGCCAGTCTATGCTGATATACAGCACAGGTTTTTTATATAATTTTTCTATATAACTGTAAAACATTAAAATATAGATCACAATTTTGTAATTAAAGCCATTAATATTCCTAGGTGACCGCTTGCCTTCAGGCCATTGAACAGTTTTGGGAGACACACTAGGATTATCATTCTCATTAAAGATAAGGAAACTATGGCTCAGACATGTGCAGTGGCCAACATGAGATCTCAGACCACAGTTACTATCTAAGCCAAACACCGTGTTTTGAAATCTAAGACTCTTCCTACTGTGCCATGTCGATGGCAAAATTTTACAAACTAGAGACTCTTAACAAATTAGCATATTTTGCCTATATTGATATTTTTCTCCTCCATTTGAAAATTTCTTATCAGTAACTCTCCTTAGAGGCTTTGGCATTTCAAATGACATATATGTGTGTGTGTGCATGTGTGCGCACGTGTGTGAAAGAATATATGTATATGAAAGAATGAATATATGTGTGAATCCCCATGTGAATGAGTTCCTTTGTTAGGAATACAGAAAATATAAGCAAATATGCCACTTGCTTGCTGGTTCCACAAATATGACCTTAACATGCTGAGTCTCAAATAAAATTTTTAACTAAATTTATTACACGACAAAAGGTTATGTGATTGTTCTTCTTGGACAAGTTCCTTTCTTATTCTTGTTTTCCTACCCAGCAATTGGTAGTTTACCAAAGCTGGATTGCAGGAACCTCAGAAGGGAGAAGGGAAGCCGAGAAACCAGAAGCCCTTTTCATTGTGTTGCATTTTTATCTTGGCCTGATGTGGAGCCACGGACTGGAACCATCACAGCTGTGACTCCAAGGACGAATCTCACATCCACTCAGGGTCCGGGCGTGGGTCTAAGGCAGATTGGGCAGAGCAGTGGGAGAGGCAGATCTCGCTGGGCAGGAGCTAAGCAGGTACAGGATACACTGAGTAGGGAGTCCTGGTTTGGATCTAGATGTCCCCCCAAGAGCCTTGCGGCTCAGAAGCAGGGCTTTGGAACATGAAGCATGGTGTGCCAGGATAACTTGCAGCGGGGAGGTGGGGCTTGGTCACTGGAGCATGACCTGGAGGGGGGCACCTCCCTCCCAGACACCCTCCTTCACCACACCTGCTTCCTGGCTGCCGTGAAGTCCCGCTCACCATGCCTTCCTGCCGTGGAGCTGGCCAACCATGGATTAAAAGCATGGGCCAAAATAAACCTCTTCTCCTTAAATGTCTGGTATTTTGTCCCAGCCAAAAGGAAAGTAACTAAGATGAGGAGAGAAGCGACACTGTCTCCGGGAAGGGGCCTGGGTAGACAGAGGCCTCCATCTAAGCCCAGGCCGGGGCAGCACGTGGGAGAAGGCTGGGTCTGAGAACAGGCTAGGTGCACAGAGCTTATCACTGAGGAGACGGTCTGAAGGTCAGGTTCCGATGGCGACAGCAACCGGTTCTCCAGGGCTGGAGGCAGGGACAGGTGGAGGTCTGGACACGCTGCAGCGGTGGCCTTGGAGCTCACCAGACGTGGCCCCCTCCAAGCTGCGGCAGGTAGTCTTTGAGGAGTCACTGCCCAGAGACCCTGCTGGTGCCCATGCATGGGGACATCCTGCAGGAGGCTTCATGCTCCCACCACAACTCAGGGGCCCCGCTTCCACGCAGGTGTCATGGGACAGCCAGCAGGACTTCCAGGCCTGGGAACTTGGCACAGTGTTTCGGCATCTCAGGGTGCAGAGACAAGGCCTGGAGGTCTAGAAGAATCTGAAGAGGGCCGTGGGCTCCCAGCCAGGAGCATCTCAGACACCGTGCAATGCACAGTCTGTGAGGGTGTGGCTGGCCCAACAGGTGGCCCCCACAAGCTGGGTGACACAGGGGCACCTCAACCAGGCCCCAAGCCAGGCAGGCCTTGTGCTGCAGCGAGAGGTGCTTCAGTCCCTGAACCCTCTATGTAGCCCAGGCTGGCCTTCAACTCACCATCCTCCTGTCTTGACTCTACTAGTGCTAGGATTACAGGTGTGTGACAGCCTGGACATTTTATAGAAACTATTTAATCTCTCCATGCCTCAGTTTCTTCATCTATGAAATACTCAGAGCACTGTGATGAGAACTACACGAGGAAAATGCATACAAAGCATTTGGAAACATAACCAGTACATGGTAAGTACTCAATATAATATATGTCATTATTTTTAAATGCTTTCTATCATTAGTGATAATATCAAAATTTAAACATAATGGCTGCTTTCGAGGAGTTCCCAGTCAACAAACTTACTTGTTCTACACAAAACTCAGAATGTGGTAGGAACTTATCAACTATTAGTAATTTAATACGGTATTATTCAACAGATGAGCAGAACCAAGAAAGTAAAATATACGAAATAATGATTTACCCTGCTGAAAACTAAACTATACTTTATAGCCAATGCAATGCATATATCCAGAGTGTAACCTCATCAAGATATGCCACTACTTTTTTGTAAACATAATTAAAAGCAGTAGGTTTATATTCACTGCGGGCAAGGATTTAACAAATTCCCATTTCTGTTTTTGAAATAGCCACCCAGGCACTTTTAACACTGCTACAGTGCTTTGCTGCTCCCGAGACATATGGGAGATGTAAAATGATTGTAATAGCAATAAGAGTGGCCTTTCTCTCCTTAATGAAATTCTAAAAAGCTACAGTCTCCTGTAATGCAAACAAGCATTTCTGCCTGGGCGCATTCATCACAAAAACTCAGCCAACCATGGCTGCTGCAGAGAGTGTGGCCAGCAATGCTGCCGCCTGCTGTGTAGAAGTGGGATTGCTTTCTTTGGAGGGAAGAATTTTTAAAAATCAATGCCTTGACGAATTGGTGCTGTCCTGCTTAGGTAAATAGGTCTATTCTCCCAGTAGCTCAGTACATTATTGCAGGAGCTTATACCTCTGCCTAGCTAAGCACACCTGGTCGTTTTGCTGAACTTACCCCTTCATTTACGTTGTTTAACCCACTTGCCCCGTTGTACAGCAACTTGGTTCTCTATTTTCTTTCATTTCATATACTCAAGATGAAAGACTTAATGTTGAAATACTTCTTATCATGTCACCTTTTATAAGGATGAACCCTGAAGCTTCCTTTCTTAGGACAGCCTTGTAGAGGGACACAAGATGACGAACATGTAGAAATCCCTTTTTCTTCTGGAACACAAAGGGGCACTGTTCCCGTATCTCAAGTCTCACATGTAGGTACAGACCCAGGCGTACCCACCAGGAGGCTGTCTTTCTAAGAAAACAAATGTGTGGGTACAAGAAGCACTCAGTTAAATGCACATGTCCATAACTTCTTGCACCGAATATGTATCCACACCCCGACCTGCGCTCTGTTACATGACAATGAGATGGAACCAAGTTTAAGAAAATTCATGATATAAACAAACTGATTTTACCAAGACCTGTCATGTAGAGGTGCAAGATCCTAACAATGAATGTAACTGTACTGTATCCCTAAAATGACCAATAAACTCAATTAAAAAGCAAAAAAAAAAAAAATTGATTTTTACCACATGGTTCAGCTTTGGTGGATGCATTTTTCCCTTATCTCCTGCTTTCTATGCCCAACCAAGCCTTTTTTTTAACCTGTTTATTGGTACATTTAAAGAAACAATACAGATACATTCATCATTGGGATCTTGTACTTTACATGATGAATCTTGGTTCTTATTTCTTCCTCATACCGCTGCCCTCCCTTCACCCCCTTCACCCTTTCCTATTTACAAAGACTTTGTTTCCATTTTTTCCTTTTTCACATTTTTTCTTTTCCCTTATTTCCTTTTCCCTCCCATCCCACTTCCCCTTTAGCCATCTGGCAAGCCTAATTTTTTCAGATTCCCCTACTATAATATTCAGCAAAGTATCCTACAAAATCTGAGACTCCCAACTTCTTCATTCCTCCTTCCCTATCCCCCACCACCCCGCAACAAAACTTACTATTCCTGTTTTCTCTCTCAAATGATCAGCTCACTGTTTCTGGAAAATCACATAAACTGGGGACCAAGTTACATACCTTATTATTTAATATATTAACTACCCTCAAATATTTGTATGCTGACAGACTCTCTGTGAGCCCATAACTAAGTTAAAAGTATATATAACTGGCAGAATTGTAGGCACCCTGGACATTTAACAGAGCCAGAAGGAGGGAGCTTCAGACAGTCAAAGGAAGCCTTCGATAGCAAGCTGACCACATATTATACGGTTGGTAGTCAGCTACCTGTGTCCAGGACTTACACACGCACACACATCCACACACCTACATAGGCAAACTGCCTCCCAAAACAGCAAACGTCACTTCTGTGAACAGCAATTCTGAAGATCTCTGGACACATTCACACCCAAGAAGAGGGGAGGCAGGGCCAGGCCTAGAGGTCACAGACCCTTTCCACAACTCCGAGTCACCTTATACCCACAGAGACTTGGGTATCCCACTGAGAGGACTCTAGGACAAACACGAATCATTCACGGTGTGGGAAGTCAGGTGAGTGCTTTCATCATCTTGTGTTAATAATTTATAACGTCTTCCTCAGAAGTTCCAAGTCGAAAACAGGAGTTGTCACTGTATGACTACAAATCTCCATTAAAAGATTTACCCATCCACTTGAAGCAATCTGTATTTTAAAAATCCA